GTTCAGTATGCTATTATATTTTATCTTGGTTGCGATTACAACTATGTAAAATAATATGTTGACCATATGTTATGTATATATACATACATACATATGATAATTAATAGATACATACACCAAGAATGATTTGATTTGAAAAAAGTCAATGTATTAATAAAAATTTCATTAGTTACATGTTAAAATATTTTTGATTAATGGTGTAACATGGAAATCGCATTTATTAATTTTTCCTACAAATCCAGACCATTTTTCATTATACCTAACAATTAGAATTAATTTTATTAGTAACATTGTACAAATATTTACTCAGATAAGATGAATTTCGATAAGTATTATAATTTAATGAGTGAAAATGCTCAAGGTATTGGGAAGAGATTTAAACATATATATAGTAATATTTGTCAAAATCTGTAAATTTTACGTTTAAAAAAATTTTATTGTTTGGGATACCACCCCAAATGTTAGATTTCCGATTATATTTACATATGGTATAACGGGCTACTTATAATCGGACCTAATTTCAAGATTTGCCTTGGAAATGTTCGGTTTTGACCGAAGGATAGGATAGCAAAGAGTAGGATATTATTAAGTATATCGTGCTGTCTACCAAAAATTTATCTTGTTTCTGTTTCTGTCTTCTATCTTCTGTGAGTAGGAAGCTTGCTGTCCAGCAATCGTATCGCTCTGCATTTCTATCTAACTCACTACAATCGCGAGAAGTAATCAATCCCAACTACATTAAAAGCTTTTAATTCAGGCAGAGTTATGATAATTAATCAATTGTCCTTAGCCAAATCAATTCGACCAATATATATGATTACACAATGCTTGGAGAAAATTTTTAATTCTTTCCATCCTTCTATTCTATCCTTATATGGTCACAATATATTCCCTCTAATATCCTGACGAAAGCTTGACTGATTGCAAAAGTTCATTGAATCTTTCTTTTACCCTTTATATGAGTTTAGTGCAAAAGTATTATTATAGCCCGAAATGTATACATATTGCATATACATACATATATAGTTTTTACCTGTCCGGTAGATGATGTTTGTAAATAGGAAGATACGTCCGTCTCGATCATACAGCTTCTTAGTGTTTCTGGTATAAACATACCTTGCGTACTTTATATATCATATCCTATCAGCCCGATTTCAACAACAGGAATCTGCGAATAGGAAGGTACATGATATATATATGTATGTATATATATGTATGCATATATGTATATATATTTACATAGTTACCTATATACTTTGGACATATTTCTCTTTCAATTTTCAAGAAAATGGTTTTGTATTTTTCAAGCCAATTCCATTATTTTTTCTTGCGACATTTATACGTTTCTTAATTTCTTGTTCATTTTTGAGCCGATACGTCTGAAATGTCAATTCAAATAATTATTGTATATATCCTTATCTTGATATATATATATAGATATAGATATAGATATAGATATAGATATAGATATAGATATAGATATAGATATAGATATAGATATAGATATAGATATAGATATAGATA